AATCTGTTAGAATTAATGAGATTATAGTTTGTTTTCATCAAGTTAGAAAATCAAGACTACTTTCTACTCGTAGTTAAATATGTATTGGAATCATAACCAAACGGATTTTGCATGACACAACTTATAACATAACGATTTCTTCCACAGAAGCTTAGAGGTGGGGGTCGAAGTCACAATACTGCGCGATAAATTTCTTGCTACATTCCCATGGTTAATGTCCACTCACCAGTATGTAGATACTAGTCAATGTGCGTCTTTATATTTGGTCTTATAATCCTAATTAGTTTATTATCACACTTGTATGCATTTTGAAACTAAATAAAAAGCAGACGATCTGCTGATACTTATAGTGAATTTATAACAGAACTGTAATATCTAGACATTTTATAGTTTGCAAATGTGAATCATAATTCGCACACACACCCTAGTGCATGTTGTCTGTCTCATTACACTTCACGGCGAAAACAATGATTCTGTTAAATGCTACGACAAATGAATAAAAACAAAATGCAAATATTAAAATTAAAACAGATTAAAGTTATAGGAACAATATCATCCATTACCTTGTTCGAGGAATGTATCCATCAATATCCACAAACTGTTCCAAATGATGTGTCTTTTAACAGTTTAATATACGAAAAAGTGATAAATCTTTTCAGGTATTGGTGTATAGTCTCATTGGTTACCCAAGATAGCACACCTGGCAATGAATTGCATAATGTCCGCCTTTCTTTAAAAACAGTAATTTAGTTAGCCAATAATGGGCAATCAATCAATGTATTGCCGGTTAATCCTTTGAAAGAAGGACGTTGTTTTTACAGACACCACCGACTACGACAGAGTGTATTCAGTATAGATTAGTAAATCTACATACATAAACACTACCTTTTGACAATTCCGCTGTAAGATAAAAGTAATTAATCAATCAGCGTATGTTATCGGTTAATCCTTTGATCGATGTTTATAATGTTGAATATTTACTCCAGACACAAAGAAATGCCAAATGGGAACCTTTGTCGGTAATCTAAGTGTGTTACCACTAATTATACCGGTTATAAATTCATTAACTGACAATCAAGTGAATGATGACAAATAACGTGTAGGTTTATACCACCTAACACGGGGGTTACAACAAGGGGTATTAATTGCTGTATTGCATGTGAAAACTTATGGGCCGACACTGTTTTGAGAATACAAACAGATTTTTACATGACATGATTAAATATCGAGGTAAAAAAACACAGAAATGGGATCAATTTGGATCAGTCATTATACAAATAGGGTCTAACGACACCAATCGATTTTACAGAATCGCCTATGAAAACAAGTTGTAACTCGAAACTAGGCAAAGCAGGAGACAAAATTAAATGACAGTAGATTATGAGAACATATAGCTTTCATTTTCCACAACAATTGTCACGATTTCAGGTTTATACCCCTAAAATGTAGATGAATTCTGCATCGGCCCTCAAAGCTATTCCTCATATGACGTCACAGACAGCTGATTGGTTGAAATTTCGTTCGCGGGTGAGAATTGTGCACTGTTGTCAAAAAGGTCGATTTAAGTCAATTAAAGGTCGAAATGAGTAGTTTTAATGACGGGGTTTCATTTATAACGATGCCAGTTAGTGATTTATGTATTTGTACCCCTAGGGTTTATGTGACCTTTAATAAGAAAATTTGGTAAGATTACAGAATACCGGATACCTTCCTAACCCTAGGGTTAGGGTAAGGTTTAGGGTTAGGGCAAGGTAAGGGTTCGGTTTAGGACAAGGGTTATAAAATTAGGGTTAGTGTAAGGTTTAGGGTTAGGGTAACGTGACATTAAACAATATGGTTGGTATGTATCCGATATTCTGTAAGTGTACCGAAAATTCACACAGTAATCTTAATCCCTGCATTCAAAACATGCAAAATAGAACAGGAAATACAGTCTATATGGTAAAACATCAATGTTTCATCTCAAATTTCACATTTATATTGACAAGTTTTTTTATCTCTTATTCGTCCACCTGAATTCTCTGAAGTGATACGGTGTAGTTATTTACAGTGCATAATAATCAAATAAATGTATGCACTATATAATGGAAGGTCTTTTTTTGTTGCCATAGAATTCCCATAGGGGTGGTAATTGACAGAAGATCAAGATGTCCTGAAATTTCTTTATCTGGACACTAGTTGTAAAAACTCATGTTTGTGCAAGATGAGGTTCAACAGTACCAATTTAGTGAAGATGAAAACATGTTTTAACAATGAGTTGGACTCATCAGAACATATTGTGCTATATTCTTTTTTTTTGTTCCATCAGTATACCATGCAGTGATCATTAATAATGTTTCTGTCTGTTCAGTGAACATGAGAAATACTGGTGACCCATCAGAAATTAACATTATACGTCCAGAGTGAACTAATTGTGGAAGTGGGACTTTCAATGAAATCTTACACAAGGGACAGATATTTTGTAAATCTGCATTGTTGGCTAATATATGACCCATAGGTTTATATCTGATAAAATGAAGTTTTCCCGATGACACATGAGACATCAGCTCTTGTCTGTTGTATAGAATCTTTTCATGTTGTCATCCTTTATTACTTGCAAGATTTGATATGACGTCACACTGCTGTGGTCGCTTTGCAAACAGTGGAATCAGTGGAACAGTCGCATGAACTATCAGCACAAACACGTAATGGTAAAACTAGTGGGAAATACACACAATAACTGCACTAATGCCCCTGTAGTTTAACAGAGCAATTTATACCAAACAGTATCACCAAGTACCCATGTAGATCCTGGTAGATCTTGGTCAATTAATGGATTTACGTGTCATCAAATTGCCCCTCTAGTAGATTTCTGCTGAGACACACCCACCCTGATCTTATCGACATGATCATGAATACCCAGTTCAGCTTAGTTCTAACTGATACTGAATAAAGCATACTATTCTTCATTTGTCAACCTCTTAGTGGTGTTGTATTACAAAAGACCCATGTTCAATTTATCACACACCTTAAATTATAGTGTAATCTGGTCCACCCAATCGGCAGTTGATCACAGTTTGACTATAGAGTGTTGTGGTCTGATAGGACTGACTAACCAGATCAATAATTTAACAGGTATAGTTTGTATATTTATTCCAAGATTATCACAGTGGCCTGAATGCATGAAGATCTGGGTTAGAATTGGTCTTCAGCAACCCATGATTGTCGTAAAGGGCAACTGATGGTATCAGGTAGTCAGGCTCACTGACTTGTTGACACATGTCATCGTATCCCATTTGCGTAGATCGATGCTCATGCTGTTGATCACTGGATTGTCTGGTCCAGACTCGATTATTGACAGATGGCCGCCATATAGCTGGAATATGGCTGCATGTAGAGTTAAACAACAAAACCAACCAACCAACCAGTGGCCTGAACCAATGATTGAGTATATGAGAAACATTCCATGCGGTTGGGTCATGGTGACATGAAATTAACCATGTCAGTTATTTATATTTAATTGTTCTTGTGACTTGTAAAGGCCACAGGGGACGTGTTCTAAACCTGGTACTGTTGAGTTAGTCAGCAAGCATGATTATTGCCAGATCAACTTCATAGAATATCCACCAAGTACAGTTTAGCTCATCTGGTTCACACAGAATGACCTATGAGGATTTGAGTTTGAAAGGTCAACAGCAGCCTATGCTGGTTGAATGATGTCCGACTTGTTAATCTTGGCTGACATCATGTTGTAGAAACATGTAGGGCCGGGGTAGCCTGTGGTCAAAGGGTAGCCTAGTGGTTAAAATGCGTTGGCCCATCATCCCCAGCGAAGACTTCGGCAGTTCAATCCCCACATGGGTACAATGTGTGAAGCCCATTTCTGGTGTCCCCAGCCAGTGATGTTGGTGGAATATTGCTAAAAAACTACGGTAAAACCAAACTCAGTCAGTCAGTCATGTTGTAGAACCCAAACCCTAGTTCATTCTCATAATATCACTCACTGGATTGTCTGGTCAGATACATTTTCATTACAGGCTGCCATTATATAGCTGGAATATTGCTGAGTGCACAGAATGTTCAAATTTGAGTTCAAAATTTAACAGCAGCCTTTTTGTAAAGTTTTTTATTTCTTAAACAGCAGGCCTGTAATTATTGACAACAATTTGATCATTAAAAATTGATGTACAAGAATTTGAAAACTGAACTTGAACTGCTGATCACTGAATGTATTGATGTAAGGATTTGACATGTTATAAATATTGTTTAGTGATCTTAAAGCTTAATATAGACACATCATTAAGTCTGTCTATGATGTCACAATAGAATGTTTTGTATGACTGGATGGGACCCACTGTATGAGTATGACTCACTATTGAGTATAACTGTATGACAGCATTGATTATGATGTCATGAAACTCACCATTGTGTATGATGACATTATGCTCACAATTATGTATGACAGCATGACATTTACCATTGTGTATGACATGACATGAAAAAGACAACTGACTATGACATTATGAAACACACCATTGTATACAACATCACAACGCTCACCATTAAGTACAACATGTCACTCACCATTTAGTATGATGTCATAAAGCTCAACCATTGTGTATGCCATCATACTGTATGACATCCTTAGCATTTGCTACAAGTAAAGAAATGATGGATTTTCAGAAGGACACTATAACCTGAGTCACCATCCTCAGTGTTTATTGTTTGCAGACCATAATATACCTGACATGTGACAGAGTGAGTGAGTGAGTTGTTGTTTTACGCCGCTTTTAGCAATATTCCAGCAATATCACGGCAGGGTATATGAGAAATAGGCTTCACACATTGTACCCATGTAGGGAATCGAAGCCGTTTCTTTGGCGTGACAAGCGAAATCAGTGACAGAGGTCAGGCACCTCCAAGGTGACATAACAACTCCCTTTTTATGTATGATATCATTACTTTATTAACCATAATGATCATAATCATAATAATTCTAGTAATCATATGTGACATTTCAGGAGCTCGACTACCCTCTCCTCCACGACTGAAACATCTGATGACTCCGATGTCCAGTTCAACGTTGTTCTCAGGTTAGTGACAGTGTGTACATTGTAGAGCAATGGACTGGGATGATGTGAGTTAGAACTGGTTTTCAGCAACCCATGCTTGTCGTAAGAGACAACTAAAGGGATTGGGTGGTCAGACTCGCTGACTTGGTTGACACATATCATCGTATCGAATATCGTAGATTGATGCTCATGCTGTTGATCACTGGGTTGTCTGGTCTAGACTCGATTATTTACAGACCACCGCCATATAGCAATAATATTGCTAAGTGCGGCATTAAACAGCAAATCAACCAATTGTAGAGCATGTCTGTATAATCACCACGTGGTACCATCTAATCAGGTATCATAAGAAGGTGTTATAACAAGGTGTCTCGTATCACTTACGATGCGTCTGATTGGTTGATATACAAACTGTGACCCTTGTGGTATGTTAAATACATTTATTCACTTATTCCTTAGATATGTCCCCATGAATCACAAAGTATATCACACACAACATAAACATGATATCAAATGGGAAGTTTGAATTATACAATATACATTTATTCCTCAGTGTTGTTTGAATCTAAAAATAATTGCTTTTTTATAATGTATTTATTGATGAAAAGCTGTATTATTGAATAGATATATAACTGATATTTCAGTTCAGTAAAATTAACTTATTGGCACTATCGCTCTGAGAGTTTGATCATTACAATCATGCAAGAAATTTCACAATAGATAGAACATAGATAAATATGTTATCTGAGAACTAAATACACTATTTGCTGACAATGCTGCGTGCAGCGTTAAACAACAAAGCGAGTGAGAGAGTTTGGTTTTACGCCGCTTTTAGCAATATTCCAGCAACATAACGGCGGGGGACACCAGAAATGGGCTTCACACATTGTACCCATGTGGGGAATCGAACCAGGGTCCTCGGCGTGACGATCCAACGCTTTACCCACTTGGCTACCCCACCGCCCCTAAACAACAAAGCAACCAACTAACCAAACCAATTAGTTCAAGAGGCCTTTGACCTTGTTTCCAACCCTATATGCTGGTACTGTGTATGGACCAAGGCTTATAATTAGAAACACCAGAAGCCGAAGTCTCACGACCTGGATTAGATCATAAATATTAACAATCCTTACAATTAAGAAAGGCAGACTTGTAAAGAATGTCTGATAGTAATATATATTACCGACAAAAGAACTGTCTGGAACATATACAGAGAACAACCTCTAGCTGTAATTACTTCCAATGAATGAAGCGTAACGTCGATTCTAGACATCACATGTCGTAGCTACAGAGTAAACTTAGGTTGTAATGGACATTATTAAAATTAGTCGTTATTAAAAACCCACATTTATTGTCACCCGCTCATAATGTTCTTCCTGATTATTAAATATTAAATTGAATAAAGTCAAACAGTAAAAACACTCTCTTAGACATACAATGTATTTGTAACATTTTGGATTCTAGTGATCACAATAATAAATTCATGAAGGGATATGGTTCGATTCACCAAATACGTGAATGACACCATTTGCTGTTTACCTGATCATAATAAAGGGTTTGTATGTCTAGTACAGTGACCAAAATGTATCCTGTATATGAATAATCCCAAGACTACTGCGTGGTGAGTGACTGATTGTTTCCATTGCTCCATAATAGTCATGGTAGTAGCGGACTTAGAAGAAGATTAGTTGGCCATATCATGATTGTCATCAAGGAATGTTCATGTATATTTGTACCAATGTTGAGTACAACCTTATAGTGTAACTGTACAGCTGTGCCATCGTAACATGCCCCTGATAAACTGATTGCTGATATCATGGCCTCTGTTACAAATACCCTGAGAACATTGTGAGCCGTGATGAACTGTGACTGTGTCTGGAGATTTGGACATAGAGGTGGGCCCATAGATCACATGAGACTATATCTAGACAGTGGACACTTGTGAGAGTGTTGTGTGGGACAGATCTCACCACAGTTGCTCACCTGGGTTTGTATGGGCTGAAAAATCCTGAAATTTCAACGTTTTATCCTAAAACCATCTAAATTCATTTTTGCCTTGAAGAGGCCCTATTTGGAAGTGAATTGCCTTGAAAAGGCCATAGTTTTAGCAATACATATCTAGTTATGATATTTTACAGGAAACTAATAAATAAAACAATACATGTACTTTGTAGTGGTTGTGTGTGTTAATTAATCTCCAATTGTGAAGCAAACTTTCCCAGGTAGGATGTAGGTAAGAGTAGTATAGGTCCCACATTCGACCAGCCTTGTGTTGATTCAACAATTTATGCTTAATATGTGTTTCTGTTGGGCCTAAAAATTATTAATTGGGTCTTGAAAATTACCTAAATGAGCCTTAAATTTTATGGCTGATAATGTGTACTTACCCTTCAGTCAGGCTATGGTATAGTGGTGTTCCGATGATCAAAAATAATCAAAAATCGATTGAAAGGATTAGAAATAATTATCGATTGTAAAAAACACATTTTCGATTGATCGGAATTTTGTTGTTTTTGTATAACACACTTGAATGAAGTAAACTAACCATTAAATTTGATATTCATGAACAGTGTAAAGCTATGCGCATTGTATTTATAGTTTCGTATTCATCAATACAGTAAATGTTACTGTAACCTGTCTATGAATACATTTTACATCTATTGGATGACAGTATTAGTTATAAAAAACATTAATTAGAAAACAATTGGGGAAAAACTCTTGATTTGATTTAAACATATTTTTTCAAGAGAATGGATTGGGTACAAGTTATGCCAACTTAGTGAAACCCTCTCCTATTTACAGTGCTTACATGCAAAAGTGAAACAATTATATGTACAGGGATAGAAAGATATATACAAAATGATATATACAATACAATGAATACATGAATTATTTAGATCATACACATTATATGAAAAACTCTTAAAATTGGTGATTACATTAAAAATGTTATAATCGATAATCGTTCACCACAAGTACTCTGATAATCGATAGTGGATTTGGTTTCCGATACCCAACACTACTGTGGTATGTATATCGTTTGTACTGGCTGTGCTATGTTCTATGGTACTTCTGTCTAGGACTGGCGTAGAACACCAGACTCAAGGTCCTATATCTGCATAAGTCTGTCTCCAAATGGTCCCTATTAGAACACAAGGGTTCAGATGAGGAAAACCCGTCCATCCTGTCCCCTGTTGTTCGGTATAAGAGCTTTAGAGCTCAGATGAGCAAGGCCTGTCCATTGTGCCCCCAATTGTTCAATGCTTAGAGTTCTTGGGCTCAGATGATCAAGACTTGTCCATCCTGTCCCCAGTTCCTCCATGCAAGGACCCTTGGATTCAGGTAAGGGAAGCCAGTTGATACTGTCTCCATTTCTCAGTGCAAGGTCACCCTTTCACACATACTGAAGTTAGTGTGTTTGTTTCAGAGTTCGACCCCTCAACCCCCAGGAAGTGTCCAGGCATGATGAGTTTGTTGCCAATTTTCCAGGAGAGGGGCGTGTTGCGGTAAGATGCATGGATTTGCTTGGTTTGCAGAAAGCTTTACTGGAAGATGGCATATTGCAGATAGACCACTGTTATTATTGTTTACTGTTTATTATTGATGGAAAATGTTTCCTTGGGAAGGACATTATTGCTGATGATTGTTTTAGACTGATGTACTTCCACATATATATATATAGATGAATTGCCACTCTGTTGGTTTAGTTGGATGTAAAAAAGGTTATTATGATGCAAGTAAATTATGCTTAGATGAACTTCTTTTTTCCAGATTGACAATTCAGGGACTGTGCGCAGCTTCTACTTCAATGCTGTGTTTGAGCCAGATGCGTCCCAGGAGGATTTGTTTGAACACTCTGGTATTACCCGACTTGTGGACATGGCTCTCAATGGGTGGGTACTCTCCGTTCCATTCTGATATGCAGTCCTGGTTCCATACCACACCAAAAGCTCTTAGCAGAAGTGTAATCTCATCAAACATATTGTTATAATCTCCATTCTATTGTCATAGGTATATTCTGGTTCCATACCCTACAAAAATTTGGACTTGCTCATAATAAGATTTCTTTTGAAGTTACAAAGATAGGTCACATTTAACTAATTTCAACCATACCTATGTATTTGATTATGTAAGAAGTCCCAAACTTGCAAATATGAGAAAGACAAGGAAGCCTTTTCAACGTGATGTCCGGTAATTTGTCACAATTTTCTAATTTCCAGTAGGCCAAAAAGTACCCTTTGTTAATCAGTTCAGTTTCAATGGGATCACATGAGTTTCAGCGTGTATCTTCCTGTCTGTGTGATCTTGTGTTCCCTGCCTGCAGGTATGCATGTACAGCCCTGGCGTTTGGTCAGACGGGGTCAGGCAAGACCCACACCATGACCGGCCCCCCACAACAGGTGAGTCTTCTGTCACCAACATTGAAACGGAATAATCATGCTTCTTATCAGCCTCTGCTTTATCCTCTCCTGTAGATCATAAACATTACCATGGCAATCATATTAAGGCATACCTTGTCTGCTCTGAATTAGTAGGGGCATGGGGTACCTTGTGGTTAAAGCTGTTGGCTCGTCATTACCCGTAGCATTGGGTACAATGTAAGCCCATTTCTGGTGTCCCCGCCGATGTTGCTGGAATATTGCTAAAAGCGGCGTAAAACCAAACTCAGTCCGTTAGTCAGTCTGAATTAGTAGCATTTAATGTAGAGACACTGCTCCTGAAAACTGGGAGTTTCTGGTTTCCAAGTATTTGAGAAATTATATGTTTTGATAAGTTATTAATAATTGATTTTGAATAACATGTTTTCAACACTACTGGACATTTTACTCTTTATTCTCCTCAATGGCAAATGAAAATGAAATGATACAGCATGTTTGTGCTGAGACAATATGTGTGACTCCCTACCCCCTTTAATCTCATGTGTACTTGCTGTCTGCTGCTTGCTTGTCAACCCAGAGAACTGAGAAAAATGGGGTGAGTCTGTGAAGGCATGTTGGTCCATATGGATGGCAATCACTGTCCTCATCACTTCTCTGCATCACTTCACTGTCACCACTGCCACTTCAGTATCACCAACACCTCTCTGCATCCTGCCATTGTCTACATCACCTCACCACTCCACACGGCTTCAGGGTCACCATTTGTCAACATCACCACTCACACTCCACACGGCTTCAGTGTCACCATCACCTCTCTGCATCCCGCCATTGTCAACATCACCATCAATTACCACCACACAACTTCATTCAGTGTCACCATCACCTCTCTGCATCACCGCATTCATTGTCAACATCTCACCACTCCACACTTCAGTGTCACACCTCACTGCTTCATTGTCACCATCACCACTCTGCATCCTGCATCCCGCCATTGTCAACATCACCATCACCACCACACACACTTCATTGCCCCAACACCTCTCTGCATCCCGCCATTGTCAACATCACAACATATCACCACTCCACACGGCTTCAGTGTCACATCACCTCTCTGCATCCGCCATTGTCAACATCACCACTCCACACAACTTCATTGCCCCAACACCTCTCTGCATCCGCCATTGTCAACATCACCATCACCACACACGGCTTCATTGTCACATCACCACCTCCCGCCATTGTCAACTGCATCACCCGGGCCATTGTCAACATCACCATCCCCGCCATTGTCAACATCATCACCACTCCACACAACTTCATTGTCCCCATTGTCACCTCTCTGCATCCCGCCATTGTCAACATCACCACTCACCACTCAACTTCATTGCACTTCAGTGTCACATCAGTGTCACTCTCTGCATCCCGCCATTGTCAACATCACCATCACCACACCACACGGCTTCAGTGTCACATCACCTCTCTCCGCATCCCGCCATTGTCAGTGTCACATCATCACTGCATCCTTGTCAACATCCACACGGCTTCAGTGTCACATCACCTCACTGCATCCCGCCATTGTCAACATCACCATCACCACTCCACACGGCTTCAGTGTCACCATCACCTCACTGCATCCCGCCATTGTCAACATCACCATCACCACTCCACTTCAGTGTCACACATCACCTCACTGCATCCCGCCATTGTCAACATCTCCATCACCACTCCACACGGCTTCATTGCCCCATCACCTCTGCATCTGCATCCGCCATTGTCAACATCATCACCACTCCACACAACTTCAGTGTCACCATCACCTCTCTGCATCCGCCATTGTCAACATCCCACCTACTGTCACGGCTTCATCACCACTCCACAAGACTTCATTGCAGTGTCACATCACCTCTCTGCATCCACTACTCCATCGCCATTGTCAACATCACCACTCCACTCCACACAACTTCAGTGTCACCATCACCTCTCTGCATCCCGCCATTGTCAACATCACCATCTCCCCACATATGTTTCACAACTTCATTGCCCAGTGCAACACCTCTCTGCATCCGCCATTGTCAACATCACCACTCCAATTCACTGTCACCTTCACCTTTCCATACCACATCATATCCTTATATCCTCTTCTCGTAACCCCTCTGGATCTCATCTCTTTGACACCTATCCTGACTAATTTACTTCACTAGTACACCTCTGGATCTCATCTCTTCCACACTAGCCTATACCTTACCACCTCCACCTTTCTCTTGCAAATGTGTAACACTGAGATGAGGGTAGAGTGGTTGGAGTTGTCTCCCATTAGTCATCTGGCGCACCACTTTAGCTGCATGATCACAACTCTGTTGTGAGGTTCTGGATTTTTATATATGAGTATAACTAATATCCTACACTCTACAAATTATGATGCATGTTTGCATGGGTTTTGAATAAGTATATGAACAATTAGGCTGTTCCATTCTCTCCAAGATACTCTCTGTCAAGAGTAACACTATATGGTTAACTATATGTATATAGACCTGTCAAAATCTGGGTTATAATTGGTCTTCAGCAACCCATGCTTGTTGTAAAAGGCGATTAATGGGATCGAGGGGTCAGGCTTGCTGACTTGGTTGACACATGTCATCGTATCCCTGTGAATTGTGTAGATTGATGGTCACGCTATTGATCACTGGATTGTCTGATCCAGACTCAATTATTTACAGATCGCTGCCACATAGATGGAATATTGCTGAGCACAGCGTTAAACTACAAACCAACTTGATTCTGTTATAACAAATGTATAGCAGGGATAGAAATGCATTTTTAAAGGGTGCCTTTGTGAAAGTAAGTGTGCCCATATCTTCTGATGATCCAGTTAAACTTAAACAATTATATCATTTCAATTTATTTCATAAATCAGTGAACATCATGTGCACCTGTAAACTTGAGAGCTGGATTTCCTGTACACTATCATGACTGCAAGAACAGTTCAGCATGATAACTTTGTAGTAGACTCATAAACTAACCCACAAGCTATGTTATCATTCAAAACAGAATTTACTCTATACTATAGGCACTGGCATTTAAAATGGCCACACCCATGTTAAGCTGCAAGACAGTTTGATCGGTTGCAAAAGTCATTTTGAATCATTTGAGTTGGTCAAATTTATTGCATTTGCCTTTAAATCAGTCATGGTGAGTATTATGTTGGTAATTTTAGTTGTTCTACCATGGCACGGAAATATTTTTCATCCATGCCATTTCAATAAAAAATGTATTTACTATGCCATGCCAGGCAAATTATGAACTTTTTTGATCCCTGTATAGTATTTGTATATCATATCGATAGCATTATCATGTTAGATTTGGGATTACACATTCATAGTAAAGTACCGATTGTGGTACTTTTGTGAGTTTAGTCCAGGGACGTAACAGTACTATCAGTTATGGGATATATATTTGTTTCCTTTGAGATTAACGAGTACGTAAAGCAGATGGCTGACAGTAGCAAGGTAACGTGTGACGTGTGTGTGTGTTAATGTAACAATGTGTGACAGTCCACCTCCACACATGATACACCTCAACAATTCCAAGTATACTCTTGAACAAAGTAGGGGTCCTTCATTTTTAATTTACGATTGAAAAATTGGAAGATCATGTATGAGTCAATCAATGTTGATATGATAATAACGAATGCTTTGAGAGTGCATCACCACTTGCACTTCCTTATGACCATAGTTGTTTGTACAGTAATTGCTCTTAAAAGATGATTGGTGTATGAGGTGAGATTTGCACGTGTATAATTTTCATTAAAAAAAAAATGGCTAGAAACAAACTTTAACGACTGTGTGATGCAAGATGATTATCAAAATTAATGGTCTACAGTGATTTATCGCCCTTCTTAAAACCGTCAAAATCCAGAATGACACCCCATGCATGTGTATGGGCTACTGCGTTGTGTTGCATCCCATGCATTGTGTGTAGTGGTGGTGATAAAGAGAAATGGTGGTGTGTTCATAAGATGTGTCAACACTTATACTTCCTATCTATGTTGTAGGTTCAGGTTCCCCTACTTTTTTGAGAGTATATTTAGCATCACATTAGGGCAAAACTATAAAAAATCATCTGCTAGCGTGCAAACATTTTGTTGACATTAGCTGAAGAATAAAATAAGAATTGTAAATCTTCAATAAAGCAAATCATTGTGCTGTTTGAAATATACCACTCAATATTGTTAAAGAATACCCATGATTATATGTCTGTGTGCTGTAATACAAACCAGATGTGACAGATTCACTATAGCCGAATGAATAAATTGGGCATTTTATACATGCTATCTACCTTTTTGAGGCAGAAGAGTTCAATTATAGGTACTGGCCGAGGTTGTTCAATTTTGTTTTGTTTCTCCTCCATGTTGTTTCTCCCCTATAATCAAAGTGGATGCTGTCATCCATGCGTCCATCTGTCCTTGCAAGATGTCATTTTTAGAGGAGTGGCTTTAATTTGTACAATATTTCTTCACAAAAAATTTGGCACATGAATTGGTCCATAACAGGTTCCTTTTGATAATTTGAGATTTGATAAAACAATGTTTGAGTTGCAATGGTAACCACAAACTGAGACTAAAAATGGAGTTAGTGAGCATTTCGAGAACAGATCTTTAAAGAGCATCAAGAGCATATTCCTTCACCAAACATGGTATGTAAGTAGGTCCACAGGGGCTTGTAACGCTAAAAACTGCCATCAAGGTATATACTGTCACTGATGGGGTCTTAGTACTATAATAATACTAAGACCCTGTCAGTGACAGTATATACCTTAATGGCAGTTTTTAGCGTTACAAGCCCCTGTGAATTGGTCTAGTGGTGAACCAGTTTCCTGTCAATAGTTTGCGATATTTTAGAAATATGTATTTCGAGATTCCATCACAGATTTCATAATATATTCATCACAAGTATTTACGACTGCAGAGAGACGGAAAAAAATCCAGTACTCTTCACTTTCAGATGAATAGGCATACATTTTCTTCCCTGTAAACCTACCAATAGAAACAATTTTATAATACAGTTTGCTTTAAGTTATGCTAATTCCTAACAACACTAATTGGCTGGCAAGGAGTCTATAAACACTGAAATAAACAGAGGGCCTAACAACAATCAGTGCTGAAATTGCCTTCAGTAACATAGTCCTCGGCTGTGTTCATCTAGCCCGTGTTGCAATCATATTCTGTTTTACGAGCTGCTGTAAGATTCTCCTGATAATGTTACTTTTTCTATACATATATTACACAATAACAGCTTATTCATCTAATTCTTATAACACTTATAACAAATCTATTCCAATTTTTCTGCATTTGTTTTTATATTTTAAATGTTCCCTGATCTCCCACAGTTTTCAGCCTAGTATCATTTTGTTTGGAATTGTTTGGTCAAGTTCAGTTTTTGAAGGGCATACTTTCTTTGGGATAGTTTATAAAATATTACATCTATTGGCGTAAACTGTGTATCATTATCGAGATATCAAATAATTATGAAATTAGACTTGTACTGAATATTTGCCATTGGGTATAACTCTAAATGAACATATTTTACTGAATGAACTGTCTCAGTCCCACAGTAATGATATTGCTGGAATATTGATAAAAGCAGCGTAAATGCCAACTCTCTCTCTCTCTCTCACACACACACACACACACACACTCACACACTCCAGTCCCAGAACAGCATTACTTTCCCTTCTGCCTAGCCCATTCTGCAAAAGTCTCACATGAAGCAAGTCTTGATTTCCTCATGTTCTGAATCTCCCATCTCACTGGGGCTTCTTTTCAGTTTAAAAGTAATTATTTGTTCTTATCAAAATTATATACATTTAGAGACTAAGCATTAGTCCATAGAGTCCTGAATGAACAGTCCAAAAGAGTTAGGAGACCCAATTTAACAATGTTTTCAGCACACACTCCAATTTATTTATGATTATTTAGGAGAGACAACCTCTCACCACCTGTGCCACTCTCTTGCTTGTACCTTGACTTAAATCATCACTTGTGTTGACCAGCATTTGGCGTTGGCACCATTCCGTAAAGCGATCGTAGTGATACTTCTGTCGTAAATCTATGTTGAAGTGTGTGAGGTACGATCACGTGAGCACTGCAATTGCTTTGTGGGATGGAAGTGTGGACCCCATTCTACAAGGTGATGTTAGTGCTGAGATGATCGTAAATCTGATACTTTAATATAGGCTTAAGATAGTTGTAGTGCTAATTCGCTTTTAGAAATGGGCCCCTTGTCTCCAATAGATTCACTGTCCGTTGTGCTGTTGCTGGACAACGTGTAGCAATGTAATTATCTCCCTTGGATTGTTGCTAGTTCCTGGATGGACTCAAACCTGACCCTAAGATGTTCGGACTGATCCAGAGGTCGTTCCGATACATGTTCCGGCAGCTGAAACAGTTGGGTGCTAACAAGATCATCCGGGCCTCTTACCTGGAGATTTACAATGAACAGGTGAGAACGTCCAGAATTGTGCATCTACAGACAACTGTTACTACTACGTAATATTTTTCACATGGTTATGAAACTTGCAAGAATTACCCCTTTTTAACAAGAGTGATTTAGTAAGAAGGGATAAACACCACTTTCAACAGTTTTCAAGTAAAACACAGCTTATAAACCTGATGAAAAGGATTTGAGATGTCTGAACTTCTTTTGGTTTCAGGTGATAGATCTCCTGAACCCCTCACATCGCCGCTACCTGTCTGTACGTTGGTCCAAGAACAAGGGCTTTTATGTGGAGAATCTCTTCAGTATGGAGTGTGAAACGCTCGATGACCTCATGGCTGTCCTTGAAGAAGGTGAGATGCTTGACTTTGTCCGTCTGCCTTGAATGTGTCTATCTATCGGTCTGTTTTCCTCTGTGGTTTCTATCTCTCTGTTAAGTTTGGAGCCCGAGTCAGATGACCTCATTACTGTCCATGAGCTCATACTTGTGGTGGTCCAATTAATTGAAATAATCGAAGATTGGTTGCAGTGACTAAACAACCAAGCAATCGAATATGTTTTCTAATAATCGAACAAAAACAATTTTGGAACACTGGTTTGCATCACCAAATTTTTCACAAGGTTGGTTTTGTCTGTGTGATTAAATTTACATTTCATTAGCACTACAAGCTCGTTCCATGTCATGATTGAATTAATGTTCCTAACATACTACAGTGCTTCAGCCAGGCAAGCACGCCAATGTGCCATTCACACTAAAAAATATGCAATGGCACTTTTTTTCAATGCTAGAGCACCCATTGGCACACCATTTAATATAATCCACAGGTCTTCTATACCATGGTTACCGTGAATGGCAAAAGTTGCAACTGCATTGGCACACATTTTAGTAGTTAAGGTGCCAGTTGGCAACACTCAAAAAAATTCTTACTGAAGCACTGTACTAATCCTTTAATTGCGTGAAATTTTGGAATGCATTTTGTGCAATTTGCAAAAAGACCCAAAGAACTACATGTTTTTTCTTTATTTTTGTGTGTGCATTAACAAAGGTAGCATGTACATTTGATAAATGACGCTAACCAATTATTTTCGATGATTGATCGGTTGTAATGGACCAATCATCAGTTATGATATTTTAACCAATTCCCAACACTAGCTCATAACAGCTAAATACAAGTTTTTTGCTATAATTTGATGCCCTATTGCAGATTGGAGTGAGTATGGTTTTGTGCCATTTCTTTACAATATTCCAGAAATACCATGGTGTGGGACACCAAAAAATGGGCGTTACATATTTTTTCCATGTGGGGAATCAAATCCAGGTCTTACACTGTAACACTAGCTTAGCAGCAGTAAACACATAAGGCATGACATTGCCAGATATAGTCTCTAACATCCATAGGCTGGAAGATGTAGGCAGAACAAGACAAATATCAACAAAGAAAAAATGAAATATGTTGTGTCACTGTGGTGTCAGTCGTTTAAAAGAAGGCATTACTGTAGCTTGTTTTTAAAACAGCATTAAAGTTGGTGTATGTTTCGTTAGTAATAGGACTATACACACACATTGTATCTTAACTGTATATTATTTGTATTTGTGCTTTACCTTGCTCCTCTATTCACTCTGTGTATTTGCTTCAGTGAACTTCTTCCCATCTGAAATTGCAAGACTATGGAAAGTGAGATTTGGCATGATGCTAATGAGGATGTCATACTTTTAGTGAGAGGATTTGTGTTATGTTATAGTCTTCAGCATTTATGCAAAACATAATTTTAACATTAATGCTGACAGCAACCTTTCTTTAATTATCAAAGGATGACTTTGTCCTGTTTGTTGATTTTTTTCTGATAACGAGCTACAGTGCTGTGGCAGTATCTTTACATGACAGTACTACTTTTCATAGGGAAATAACTTTAAAATTGCTAGTGTACTCCGGAACAGTGGCACATGTAAAATCACTTGTCCTGATAATTTTTTCACTATAGCGTCTGTTTTCTTGTTGATTTTTTGCATAAACAACATAATTAACATTGGAAAGTCAGCTGGACACCGGTACAGTGTGATATACAAATTTGCTTGCCCGACAGAAAAAAACACTGGACTCTGACGTCGGGCAATGGGTTATTTCCACCCCTGATACCCTATGTGATTACGACCAACTCTTCCATGAATCATACCCTATGTGATTACGACCAACTCTTCAATGAATCATACCCTATGTGATTACGACACTAACTCTACCATGACTATGTGATAACAGCCAACTCTACCATGAATCATAAATCATGACCCTATGTGATTACGACTAACTCTACCATGAATCATACCCTATGTGATAACAACCAACTCTTCCATGAATCATACCCTATGTGATAACAACCAACTCTACCATGAATCATACCCTATGTGATAACAACCAACTCTTCCATGAATCATACCCTATGTGATAACAACCAACTCTACCATGAATCATACCCTATGTGATAACAACCAACTCTTCCATGAATCATACCCTATGTGATAACAACCAACTCTACCATGAATCATACCCTATGTGATAACAACAAACTATTCCATGAATCATACCCTATGTGATAAACAAACTCTTCCACTCTACCATGAATCATACCCTATGAATCATAACAAACTCAACCATGAATCTACCATGAATCATACCCTATGTGATAACAACCAACTCTTCCATGAATCATACCCTATGTGATAACAACCAACTCTACCATGAATCATACCCTATGTGATACAGCCAACTCTATGTGATACCCTATGTGACCAACTCTACCATGAATCATACCCTATGTGATGATCTACCATGAATCATACCCTATGTGATAACAACCAACTCTTCCATGAATCATACCCTATGTGATTACAACCAACTCTACCATGAATCATACCCTATGTGATTACAACCAACTCTACCATGAATCATACCCTATGTGATTACAACCAACTCTACCATGAATCATGTGATTACCCTCTACCATGAATCATACCCTATGTGATTCTACGACCAACTCTACCATGAATCATACCCTATGTGATTACAACCAACTCTACCATGAATCATACCCTATGTGATAACAACCAACTCTACCATGAATCATACCCTATGTGATTACAACCAACTCTACCATGAATCATACCCTATGTGATTACAACCAACTCTACCATGAATCATACCCTATGTGATTACAACCAACTCTACCATGAATCATACCCTATGTGATTACGACCAACTCTACCATGAATCATACCCTATGTGATTACGACTAACTCTACCATGAATCATACCCTATGTGATTAACAACTCTACCATGAATCATACCCTATGTGATTATCATACCATGAATCATACCCTATGTGATTACAACCAACTCTTCCATGAATCATACCCTATGTGATTACAACCAACTCTTCCATGAATCATACCCTATGTGATTACGACCAACTCTACCATGAATCATACCCTATGTGATTACGACCTCTACCAACTCTACCATGAATCATACCATGAATCATATGTGATTACGACCAACTCTACCATCTACCCTATGAATCAACTCTACCATGAATCATACCCTATGTGATTACGACCAACTCTACCATGAATCATACCCTATGTGATTACGACTAACTCTACCATGAATCATACCCTATGTGATAACAACTAACTCTACCATGAATCATACCCTATGTGATTACAACCAACTCTACCATGAATCATACCCTATGTGATTACGACCAACTCTACCATGAATCATACCCTATGTGATAACGACCAACTCTACCATGAATCATACCCTATGTGATTACGACCAACTCTACCATGAATCATACCCTATGTGATTACGACCAACTCTACCATGAATCATACCCTATGTGATTACGACCAACTCTACCATGAATCATACCCTATGTGATTACATACTCTGTGTGATTCTCCAACCCATGAATCATACCCTATGATTACGATTACTCTACCATGAATCATACCCTATGTGATTACATATACCATGAATCATACCCTATGTGATTACAACTAACTCTACCATGAATCATACCCTATGTGATAACAACTAACTCTACCATGAATCATACCCTATGTGATTACGACTAACTCTACCATGAATCATACCCTATGTGATTACGACTAACTCTACCATGAATCATACCCTATGTGATATGTGATAACTAACTCTACCATGAATCATACCCTATGTGATTGACTAACTCTACCATGAATCATACCCTATGTGATTACTCACTAACTCTACCATGAATCATACCCTATGTGATTAACAACTAACTCTACCATGAATCATACCCTACTTGATTCTCCTCAACTCTGTGTGAATGTGTACCCAATGTCATTACTTTCAATTCTAGTTGCTACCATGGATTCTACCAGCATTTATACCTGCATGATTACTCTCAACTGTGGATAAGATACATACATTGTATGGTTACTCTCAACTCTACCTTGGATTTATACCAGACATGATTACTCTCAACTCTGTGTCACATTTCATGTGTATTACCAATCTACATTACTTTATAATTCTGTTGATACCATGTGGATAAGATACCATTGTATTTATCTCAACTCTACATGATTACTCTCAACTGTGGATAAGATACATACATTGTATGGTTACTCTCAACTCTACCTTGGATTTATACCCGACATGATTACTCTCAACTGTGGATAAGATACATACATTGTATGGTTACTCTCAACTCTACCTTGGATTTATACCCGACATGATTACTCTCAACTGTGGATAAGATACATACATTGTATGGTTACTCTCAACTCCACTTGGTTTCATACCCTGTGGGTTTACTCCCAACTCTACCCTTGTTCTATTCCCTGTGAGATTACTCCAGATTCTACTCAGATTATACCCTGTAGGATTTCTCACAACTATGCCCATGTGTTATCCCTGATGAGATTACTCTAAACTCTACCTGGACTATACCCTGTACGATTACTCTCAACACTACTAGGGTGTCATACACTGAGTGATTACTGACAACTATTCCTGTACTCATACCCTATGGGATTACTCTCAACCTTACGTAAGATTCATATGCTGTGTAAATTACTCCAAACTCTACCCCAAGTCCCACCCTGTATTCATTGCCCTACCCTAGACACATTGATTTCTCATCAAGTCTGTGAATTGATTGATGTGTCGCGTGTTAGCTTTCATTAAACACCCTCTTTCCTATCGGTCTCTTGGTCAATATCTCGAGCTGACACTTCAAGTGTTATTGCAGCTATTTATGACGGAGTGTTTGCTCATATGAGAGATTTCTACTGTAATCATACCCCTTCTTTTATTGGCTGTTCTCTGCCACAGGAATATGAATTTCGTCAGCATAATCCTTGTGGTAGTATTTACACTGTTAAGAGTTGTTCACATTAGAATGACATGAGTGGTATTGATATCGTGGCTAACTTCATTACGCTGGTATACTGATGTACATTTGGAACCAGAGGAGTAGTGGTGAGAATGGGGTGGGGATCGGGTAGGGTTTGGGGGGTGTTGTTTGGTGTTTTGGGTAGTTGTATGTGTTGAGGGGTGCATGGATGTACACTCCTCCTTCAGGCATAGTAAAACATATATACATAGGAAGAAACAAAACATTCCTATAATCACAAAAAAATCACAAATTTACGCAGAGTTTACTGAATTCCACCTATATCATGGAAGTTTATGTGCTGTTATGAAACAGTAATGATACCAGGTGTTTGTAAAAAAAAGGAAAGTGTATCCTGCCCCAATGGTGGCATCCATCACAAACACATGCACAGTAATGTCAATTGTTTAACTGAAAATATTACAGTTTTAAGGTTTATGGGTGATCAGGTACAATAAGTGAAAACATATCACAGCATTGGAACTAGATCAATTTTTGATATACTTTATAATACATACCAATACAAGTGTTCCCTCAGGACTAGTGGGGGCGGTGGGGTAGCCTAATGGTTAAAGCGTCCGCTCGTCACGCTGAAAACCCGGGTTCTATTCCAAGCATGGGTGCAATGTGTGAAGCCCATTTCTGGTGTCCCCCGCAGTGATATTGCTGGAATATTGCTAAAAGCGGCATAAAACCATACTTACTCATTCACTCATGACTTGTGTTGCTGAACTATGCAGACTGAGTACAAGACAGCTGATATTATTACTTCTCATACTGAAGGATAGCACAGTCAACAGTTACATATCGGTTGTCCAGTAGTCTAGTGTGACTGCAGATAAAGTGACCATTAGAGAGCTATTGAGATTAGTAGTGTTTGTGTGTCACCAACATACTCCAAACTCCAGATCAACCGTGATAGTTGTACCCATGCCGAGGCATGCCTGCCTCGACTTTACATACCAGACCAGGAATTACTGACTTTCACTTGATACATGAACTCAGTAAAGAGATTACTTCCTTCATCGAGTTTATGAAGTTACAAACTAATAACTTCTTCTCAGAGCCAGGTTTCTGCCTTAATGAGGCGCAAGTCTGAATTAATGTAATATTTTCTGTGTATACTGGACACTGCTTACAGAGGACAGTGAGTTTATAGTCCTGTCTGCCTTACCAGTCCACCCTGTCTAAAATGGATTCACATGCCTGACTCAAACCATACCTCAGTGGTCATTGTTTTGCATAAACTCTCATTGTTGACTCTTTCTAAGCTGATTGAGCCTGAAAGTGATCGGTTGTGAAGACGCTAGCATTTCTATGGCGAGGATTTTACAGCATGTGTCAATGAAACCTCTGATTTGTTGTGAAAGGCCGATTGCAGCATTGAATGCATCACAATACAAGGCAATTGTTCAGTTCAATGTCCCAGCACGGTTGCTATTGTGGAACTGTATCAGACTCTAGTCCGGGCTTTCATAGTCCTCACATGGGCTGGGCCTTTCACTGGGGACAATCCAGTCTGATAGTGTATAAATATGTGTTGAATATTTATTATCCATTCATAAGAAGACTTTGTGTATATACCTGTGTATAGTAACAGTCACAAATGATAGAAACCTGCTCTTCAGTTCAACAGTGTTTACCTGTATCATACCCATGT